TGACCCAAATAAATAAACAAACGACTTCCGTAAAATAACCGCCATAATAGAATACCCACAATGCACCACTAACCTGTATATATATATATATATATATAAATATATATATAAAAATAACAGCATATAAATGGGCTGACGAAAAATATAGCATATGAAACAGACTGATTGCATATAGCATGTTGACTGTATGTTCACTTATATATATATATATATATATATATATATATATATATATATATTCCATTTAGCTATGTATTTGTATAAATTATAAAAGTGTTTGATAGGTAAGGAGTGATGCAATTTTTTTTTTTTTTTTTTCTGAAGAAAGATCAAGGGTATGATAAAGACTTACTTGACAATTTGTCCCAGTAATTCTTGTTCTGCCTTCAATGCCTTCATATTTGGGTTATAAAAATCTACAAGACAAAATAACAGATTCAATAAATAAAGGAAATTAACAGGAGAAATTTGGAACATTAACACAGTGGATCCCATGAGGAGGTTTACAACAAGTATGTTCACCATGTCTTAAGATGGCTTAGAGAAAAGAATAAAAACATTAAACATCAAAAATAAGAAATAAATTTACCTATATCTCTTGAGATGAGATATTATGACTATTTACATTATTTGAATTGTTACCCTCGTCTTCATTGCCATATTCACAACATTTCGGCTGTTACACACTCCGACCTTCTTCAGGTGATTGGAATTTTGAACCAAACCCTTTATTTCATCCACAGGGGAGATTGTTCTAGTTCCACATGCCATACCTCTTCAGGATGTTTCAGTTATGTCCCTAACTCAGCTCTCAAAGTTCTTTTGGTTCACCACTGCTGTAGCCTGGTATTGAACTCACAACCCTGAGTCTAGTCATTGTATCTAACCAACGTCTTTATTCATTGGGCCAGGTGTCAAAGATGTTGGTTAGATCCAATGAATAATCGCAAAGAGTTGTGAGTTCAATACCAGGCTACAGCAGTGGTGAACCAAAAAACTTGGAGAGTTGCATTAAAGGGAAATAACTGAGACATCCAGAAGAGGCATGGCATGTGAAACTAGAACAATCTACAACAGTGGACAAAAAGGGTTTCGCTCAAAATTTCAATCACTTGAAGGCCGGGGCATACAATGGCCGAAACATTGTGAATATTGCAATGAAGATGAGGATAACAGTCCAAATAATGTAAATAAATAAATTTGCATCATAATTTTGGAATATAAAACATTAAAACTTTTGAAGAGGAACATTTTGGGGGATAGTTAAACATCAATAATATGCCATAATTACAGTATCCACAGGAAACCATTAATGGGTAATGGAATTGATATGAAAAAAGTGCAAATGACCTGAATTCTTTGATCTTAATCTACTGACCAATGAGAAAAATGTTTTAGGAATATAAAACCCTCAAAATTAAACTGAGATATGAAGTTCTTACCTGGGAGGATTTCTGTTATTAATGTATCCATCAACCAGAATATTTTCTCTTCATTTTTTATAATCAAAAGGAGTAAACCGGTTACAAAATTAAGACCCTGCATCAAAATAAGAAAAAATGCTTGTAAAATATTGAGATTTCAATGAGAAAACAAAACAAAACAAAAATAAACAATGATATTTAAATGAATAATGAAAATGCTAATGATATTTAAATGAATAATGAAAATGCTAATGATATTTAAATGAATAATGAAAATGCTAATGATATTTAAATGAATAATGAAAATGCTAATGATATTTAAATGAATAATGAAAATGCTAATGATATTTAAATGAATAATGAAAATGCTAATGATATTTAAATGAATAATGAAAATGCTAATGATATTTAAATGAATAATGAAAATGCTAATGATATTTAAATGAAAATTTAATATTTATTTAAAAGTATTAACATTTTAATAAAACTATATTTAATTAAAAAAATAATAAATATGTCAAATCTTTTTTGCAATCATGTTTCAACTGGAACATACCAGTCTTTTTTAGGTGTTGCAATCAGCATTTGGGGTAAGCTATTAACAATACAGATTAAAATCAATCACTGTTAGTTCCATTTTCGTTGACTCCAAATAAATCTCAGTACATCAATCTTAATATATACTGCATTCAATGATCACATGACGAATATTGCATATCGATGATTTTTCCAGATAGAAGTCTTACTATTTAACCCATAGCTGGGGGAGGAGATGGATTTATATATATTTTTCCCCAAGAGTATTTTTGTGTGAGTGAATGTGACAAAGCTGACAGGAATTTGTGACCCTTGACTTTAATAGGTTAAAATTGTAGTGCTCAGAGAAACATTCACATGAGAGTCTGTTCTACAGAATAAAAAATTCTTGGAAAAAAGCTAGTCTTAAGCTAGTCTGTTTAAAAAATTAAAAACAAAAATCACCAAGAGATGCTATTTGAATTATAACTGATAACCCAAATGTGACATTTACCAGATACAAAGCGCCTGAGGTGTCTGGCCTGCCAAACGGTCATTTACGAGAGGTCAAAGGTGCATGTGTGATATTGAGCCTTTTTATGAACATTGGTCATTTCCATATGCGGCATTGTTCCAGACTAAGTTTGCTATTCTAAATATAACAAAAAAGAATACAATACTAGGCTATAGTCCCATGAATCATTTTATTCGTCGTGATTATTTTTTGTATTTGTAAAGCCTTCACAAAACCTATATCTTACATCTTTTACAGGAGATCACAGTGACAGCACGACTCCTTAATACACCAGTATTTTTCTCCATATTTTTCACTGATTTTAGTAATGCTGTCATCTGCATGGTTTTTTAGATTCCAATTTTTCTCTGCCATCGTTGTATTCCACCTTTTAAAGCAGGTGGCTGTATTCGTATGCTTATGACCAATGTTCATAAAAAAGCCCAATATCAGGCATGCGCCTTTCACCTCTCATAAATGGCAGTCCGGCAGGCCAGATATCTGACACTTTGGATCAGATAAGGGCAAGTATCTATCGTCACACCAAACTATCGATTCTTGATAGTGATTGACTGTCTAAGTTTGGTGTTTGTGTTTCACACCACAAGAAGCACTTCGGGTATTAATTGTAGCCATGAATGGGGCCAAACCTCAGGTGATAAAAAAAAAAAAAACATGCACAGAAGACAACAGAAATACCCTTTTGAAAGTTCTCAAAATCTACTGATGCAGCAGTTAATCTTTATGTGCTGTGTCCTCTCAGGAAGTAGGCGATTGTGGCCCTTCACAACTTCACCCACCATGCCACTTACATAGTAGCAAACCCCTCACATTTTCCCTGTATTCCATCAGTGAGAAGTAAGTTCCACTCAAACAGCTTCTTCCCACAAACCACTGCTCTGTGGACCAGACTCCCAAGTGGATGTTTCCCTGATCAGTACAATCTTAAACTGTTCAAGTCAAGCGTTATCTTCCCCTTTTATCCATATAAGCTGTCCCTTAACATAATCCTCCACCTTGTGTTGCCCAGGGCCTTGTACAAGGTGAACCTTACTGTAAAAAAAAAAAAAAAAAAAAAAAAAAAAAAAAAAACTTGCTGTCCTTTGTAGCTCTTAATAAATTTTTTGTCTTTCTCTTAGACTCTTTCCCACCATCCATTTGCTCAAGCTCCATAAGTAGGTTATGCATGGTTTTCCTGTACCTCATGCCTTCAATCTGTCCTGTGAGTATAAGATTTTCCAAGCCCCCTTTCCTCATTATATGTCCTAGAAGTAAGTTTCTTTTTTGTTTCAATATAAGACCAAAAAGCATAAAGTCAGCCAGTACTGTTGCGGCAATAGAGGAAAAAAGAATCTCTACTCCTAGATTTCTTGGTGTGCTGTAGCAACAAGTCTCTAGCCGACCTTTTAAGATCCATTCTTTAAAAAAAAATATCCTACTACTACCATGTGCCTCAACCCTGAAATAAAGCAAGTAAAAAGAAACCTAAAGAAATAGCCTGTTGTTCATTCAGTTCATGATGCAGTGTTGGGGGGCCTGAGGAATTGCTGATAGACCACAAGAAGCTAGAGTCAATATGCAATGTGACAAAAACTCATTTCATAAATAACTACCTTTTTATGAGTAAAAATTACAACATTAGTAATTGTATTTGCATGGACATTCAGCTGTTGTTAATGAACAACAATGAGTATTTTTTTCTGCAAAAATAATTTTTGACATGATTTTGCTCATTCAAAGAGTGATATAGTGTTATTAAAAAAGAGCAGATTTTAAAATATTTCATAAAAACAAATGCTATGAGAAAAAAAAAAATACATTCAACACATTACTAGACAGAAAAAGGTTCAAATTAAAATAAATGAAATTTTTTCATTCTTGTTTAAATGCTTCTTTTTGTTTGTTTTTTTTAGTATAAATTTTTTTTGTATAAATTTAAATTAGTATAATTTGTGTCAACCCTTAAAATGGCCCACCACAAGAAAAGCCATTTCATGTACTGTAATTTGTGAAGTGTGACATTAAAATAACAAACTTTGAACTTTTTTCATATCTGGTAATGTGTTAAATGCGTTTCAGTATCTTAGTATCTGTTTTTATTAAATATTTTTAAATCTGTTCTTTTCTTTTTGAATAAACTCATATAATCATATTACCTACATATACACGCAATCAAGTACATATGTAAATGAACAATATCTATGCACAAGAGATATATATATAACTTATACATATTGTATAAGAACACAAAACGTGTGTGTGTGTGTGTGTGTGTGTGTGTGTATATATATATATATATATATATATATATATTAGAGATATGACAAACTGACATGTTTACATGATATGCATACACATATTTTACAGATACATTGATGCATATATACAGAATTTATACAAATTGATACAATATAGAAATACATACATACATACATACATACACACAGAATTGACACCACACTGGATTATACACACAAACAAGATTAAGACTATACACAGATAAACAGAACTTACATTAAGCACATAGAGAATTGACACTACAAACAGAATCAACATTACGATCACACACACTATATGTGTGTGTGCGTGTGAATAAAGACAAAATGAAAAATTATCTTGGTTGACATGTTTCGTCCTCTGATAGACTTTATCAAGGCAAATGTAAGGATTTTATTTTGCAAAAAGTATTTAGAAGCAGAAGTAAAAAAGAAAAGAAAAAAAAAAAAACATTTTTCAGAATTTTTAAATTTAAAAACACTCAGAATTATACATCAGGTGAATTTTTTAGCTACAGAGAAGATTTTATAATTTAGATTATAAGGGTTAATTGCCTTGGGTGGCAACCAGCCTAGGAGAAGAAAACTCAGAATTTAAAACTGAATGCATCAGGCTTTACCTAGACAAATCACTGCAGTTATAACCACAGAACAAGTGGTGCCCCTAATTTCACCCCAAGCAAGGAAATAAAGCCACTCAGACACACAGAATTACTGAATGTGAATATGAGGGGAAAAAAAAAGAAAAAATAATAAAAGAGCAAGAATTAAGAAAACAGAAGATAATGATTGACATTGCATTTAAATTTTTGAAGATCAAAGTTGACTGGAAAGCAAGAAGCCGGAAGAGAGTTCCACAGAGGAGTTGTATTTTTGTTACCCGTGTGACATATTACATAGGGTCAACACTATTTGTTACAGAAACTGCTGCTGACTCAAAAGCAGTAGCAGCCGAAATCGTCACATGTAAATGGCAAACAAATGGGCAAAACTTTCATTCTTTAAAATAAAAACAAAATATCCTTTCACAAATATTACAGTTTTGGAAAACAGTCAGTAGGTCTGCATGTATGTGTGAGAGCTTGTAATTGCTTGATAGGTGTGTGTGTGTGTGTGTGCACACACACACACGTGTAGGTCAGCCAGCCAGTGGGGAAATGTTTTCCATATGGGAGACAAAGGGTGTCAACATTACTACATCTTGGAGCAAAAGAAAGGGAAAGCTTGTGTTCCTTCTTTTATAGTCCTTAAACAGGACCACCTAATGGGTGTTTTGACAGACCAAGTGGGGGTAATCCCAACAATTTCAAGAAACTAGCATTTCAAATGCAAACAGAGAGAAAATTTGTTACTTATTGAGAACATAAAGGAAATGAAAGCAACCAAACTACCACTTTTAAGTAAAAATCACAAAGACAAATGTATTGGCCAATCAAAAGGCATAGATGAAAACCATTTTCTCAATAGTAATTTTTAGTGATGAATGCAGACTTACACTGGACAGACCCAAATACTGCGTTAGGGGCTGGGTTCTTCATGAAAACAATCAACATGACTTAGAAAACAGCAGGATGTTGAGATAAAGATATTTAGTCCCAAATATTACTCTATGTACCATGTCCCCTTAGGACATAGGCAATCATGGCTCTCCACAATTTCTTAGCCCTTGCAGCTCTAAATCAATTGTCTTTTCTTTATTTCTAAACCTTGTTCCACCATCCATGTTCTCAAGCTTCTCAAGTATGATATGCTTTATTTTCCTCTGTCCCTTTTGCCTTCATTCTGTCCTATAAGTATCACATTTTCCAAGCCCTCCTTCCTCATTATGTGCCCCCACCAATTTCAACAGGCTCTTTCTGATGTTAAGTATAAGTTTCCTTTTTGTTTCCACTTTCTCTAAAACCTTGTCGTTGCTCACATATTCAGTCCATGATATCCTCAGCATCTTTCTGTAGAACCACATTTCATTTCTGTTGCTTCAAGTCTCCTCTTCATCTTTTAAGAAATTTGTACAGCATTCACTACCATACAGGAGGACTGTTGTGGAGTGATTTTGCAGTGGAGGATTGTATTTGTACCGAGTCAGTCCTAAAATAGGTTCACCGTACAAAACGTTAGGAACTCGATATAATACGCATTACGCAGAGTAATCTAGTTGTGGCCACTGATACTTTCGTATTTGACTGTGACTATCAGCACTGTGTCACTGGCATATCATATGTTGTTAAGATTTTGGCCCCCAATACTGAATCCTGGTAGGACTTCTAATTCTCTTAGAATTGCCTCGCTGTATAGGTTGAATATGTTTGTTGAGAAGATGCATCCTTGTCTCACACCCCTTTCTATCTGAGTCAGTCCTAAAGTAGGTTCGCCGTACAAAACGTTAGGAACTTGATATAATACGCATTACACAGAGTAATCTAGTTGTGGCCGCTGATACTTTCGTATTCGACTGTCGTTTGACATCGATGAACTGACTCATTACTCTTACTACTCCTACTTATTATAGGTGAGAGAGTCTATTAACTATATAATAGGTGTGTTTCAGCATAACAAGGACAAATATCATCTAACAGTTCAGTACTCTTTTCTTTGTTTCTAATGAAATTTTTCTATCTCTCAATACTCTGCTAAGCTTTTGGAATGTATCTTTGGTCATACCAATGTGTCACCTGATTTCAGGGTCGCATTTTCCCTCCTCTGTTAGAACACTTCCCAGATATTTAAGTTTTTGTGCTAGGTTGATTTTTGTATCTCCGGTTTGTAATTTGCATTTTGGGATCATCCTTTTGCTAATAACCAGGCATTGTCTTCTTTCAGTTTACGCTTAGTCCTTACTTCTTGCTTTCCTTCTGTGGAGTTTTTCTAGTTTTCTTCCTGTGACTATCAGCACTGTGTCATTGGCATATCATATGTTGTTAAGATTTTGGCCCCCAATACTGAATCCTGGTAGGACTTCTAATTCTCTTAGAATTGCCTCGCTGTATAGGTTGAATATGTTTGCCGAGAAGATGCATCCTTGTCTCACACCCCTTTCTACTTTTGTATATCTGCTCTTCTCACTGTTTATCCAAATGCAGATGGTTTGCTGCCAGTATAGGTTCTTGAGTATTCTAATATCCTTGCCAAATATGTCGAGGTTGCTAAGCAGTTCCCTGTGAATGCTGAACAAGAAGCAACAGATATATGGTTTTACTAAAGTATGATGCGGATATGAGCATGTAAGCAACATAGAAGTTTTAATGAAAATGGAAAGAAAAAGGACACTAAGGTGTGGCAGAAATACCTCCCACATAATGGTAAGACATTAGTGGCAATGGTGACTTCATCTAACTAGTATCTTACCATTATGTGAAAGATATTCGCGGGAGGTATTTCTGCCACACCCTGTATAAGAATCAAAGGGAAAGTTGAAATTTGTGGGGCATATGAGAAAAGAGGACTTGCAAAAATTTGATAATCACAAATCATAGTGAAGGCAGGAAGAGCAGAGGAAAACTAGGCTACTGTCCTATAGGACAATCCCGGACCTAGAATTTGGAGCTGTAAACCTAGTGTTCTTATTGGCAGTTTTATGCTACTGTTATGCTTGAACTCCTTTGCCGCTGCTCCTCTTTTCTTACTACTGCTGAACACTTGCTATTATTTTTTTTAAATTAAATATTTAGTCTGCACTTTGTTAGTTTGCAAAATAAAACCAGACACCTTCAAAAATTATTAATAATTTTATTATGCACAGGTATAAACATGAACAATATATTACTCATATATACTGAGAGGTTTGCCGACATCAATTTATTATTATTAATCTTATTGTGGAAAAAAAAAAAAAAAAAAAAAAAAAAAACTATTCATAAAATCTGACGACAAAAACGTACAAAACATTGCTGAAAAGTTGTTGATCAACACACTTCTTAAAATTTGATCAGATATTTTTAAGGGTATCTTGGTCAGGCTGAGAACTTTTCAGCGCCTCTTGTGTATACAAACAAAACCAACCAAAAAATACAAACTAGCAAACACATGAAATACAGACACAAACCCATCTACCTAATCCTAGGACCAGTTGTTGTTTTGTTTTTTTTTTTTTTGAAGGGGGGAGATGTTTCTGTCTTGGTTTCAAATTTCAGGGTTTTTTTTTTTTCTTTTTTCACTCGTGCTAACAAAATTAGTGCAGACAGCAGACAACTAAGCAAAAAGAAAAAAAACAAAAAATTTAAAAAGCCACTGAAAGTGAAGCTTTCAATGCAGACACAAAAAAAAAAAAAAAAAAAAAAAAAAAAAAAAAAAAGAAAAACAAAAACAGAACCAAAGTAAATAATTGGTACAGTGAAGTCCATCAGAGTAAATAATTAGATACATAAATTGGGAGAGACGAAAAAAGGACAGGAAATAGTTTTCATAACTACAAAAACAACTAATAGATAACCATTAAGATAAACCTGTTGGGAGAGAGAGAGAAGACAGAAAGAGAGAGAGAGAAAGAGAGAGAGAGAGGACAGAGAGAGAGAGAGGAAGACAGAGAGAGAGAACATTTTCAAGACAACTCTCCCAGGGATTACATCAATAAACTTTTAATCAAATAGAGAGACCATTAAGATAAACCTAGAGAGAGAGAAAGGAGAGAGAGAGAGAGAGAGACAGAGAGAGAGTGAAGACAGAGAGAGAGAGAGAGTGAAGACAGAGAGAGAGAGAGAGAGAAGACAGAGAGAGAGTGTGTAGAGAGAGAGTGTAAAGAGAAAGAGTGAAGAGAGAGGGAGAGTAAGAGATAATAGATGCAATCAATTTGTTTTCATGACTCTCCATATTACGTCAATAAACTTTTAATCAAATATGCGCCATTAAGAAAATAATTATAAAATAACTTAGGAGTCAGCCTATGGAAATTTCAGTATATAATTTTACTATAAACAATTATAAACCCCTATAAAACATGAGAGGAACATTCAAAAAAAAAAAAAAAAAAAAAAAAAGCTTCCTATTGCTACAGAAGCAAAAACAGGAAGAGAGAGCACAATAATGATAATTGTAATATTGACCAATTCTTTATAAGGAAAAAAATCAGCATTCACTAAGCAGCTGGTGATACTTTCAGTTGAAATTTATAAAATCTTTTACTAAATCAACAAGAAAATAGGTTTCTCAAGTTCAGTAGCTGTTACCATTCTTTCCACTATCAAAGTGGCCTTCCTTTCTGATATTTTGGTTGAAGTTGTGTGGAATTTTTGATTCTGACATTGTTTTCTCTCAAAATTACATGTGATATCCATCTTAGTTGTTGCTGTTGTTGAAATTACTCAAGTGATGTGTCTTTTGTTATTTAGAATGGCATCCATAATGAAGTCTCAATCTGATGAAACTATTCAAGAAAATAATGTTTTAGGTACTGGTTGGGTTGAGTATGTTTCAGCTATGAAATACTTTTTCCCCAGTTACCACCACTGTCTAGGTATTTTTGCAAGCAACAAAAAAAAAAATTACATCTTGTAAACATGCTAAAGTAAATGCTTAGAAACAATTCTCATCTCTCAGTCAAAGTTTTGCTGACAAACATTCAGTGAACATCGATGACTTTAAAATTGTTCAACTTTTTTTTATCCATGGAATTTCATCCACTTGACAAGAGAGATTTCTTGAAAAGATCTTTTTTTTTTCCCCCAATACTAAATTTTACCCAATAGAAAGCTCTATTATTTTACTTTCAACATGGAATTAAGTATAAACATGTGTAGAGACAAAAAAAAAAAAACAACATCTGTTTGAATGAAGATGAACTAACGGCTCTTTACCTGACAGTATCCAACATGTGGATTTTTTAAGGCAATGCATTTGAGGATATTATACAGGGGAACCTGAAGAGTTTCAAAGTCATCTGAGCTTCTAAAATGGATGTTATCTGGGAATGTTCGATGAAGATCTGGTAAAAATAGGAAAAAAAAAAAAAAAAAAAAAAATCAGAAATTTTTTTGGATTCTTACCCGTCTGCATAAAACATGGCAATAAAACTACTTTACACATTTTGTCAACATTCAAAAAATTGCCAACTCATGGTTGAAACAATCAATAAATCTTTCATGTTCAAAACTCCTGCTAAAACCACCTTACAAAATATATTTCATGGAGGGAAATTGTAAACAATGAAATATTAATAAGTTTAATCATTTTAATATTAACCAATTTAAACTTCAAAAACATTGAGTTATCCTGAATAGAAAGTCTGAAATTAATAATAAAATGATTTTGTTTGAATAATTTTCTTTTTACAGCTTTTTTTTTTTTAGTAACTTCATCCCAAGCAAGACAAAGCCACTAAGATGCAAGGAGTTATTGAGTATTAGGCAATATGAGAAAAAGAAAAACATTATTAATGAGAGAGAACAATAAAAAAAAAAAAAAAAAACAGAAATTAAGAATACAGAAGATAATGATTGACATTGATCTTCAAAAATCTAAAAATAAAATTGACTGGAAAGCAAGAAGACAAGAATTCCACATAGATCCAAGAATAGAGCCCTGGGATACATCTTCATTAATGCAAAAAAATCTAGAGGAGTGGTTGTTCAAGCAACCTTCATTCGTAGATTTAATAAAAATGATTAAATCATGTAAAAACTTTGTTCAGAAATACCATAATGTTTCAACTTGTGAAAACCAGCTTGCTAAACCTTGTAAAATGCGTTCAAAGCAACAGTTTGAGCTTCACCATTCTGACTAAAGCTTTATAGACTCTTTCAGCAATAACTTAATAAATCAGATGACCTAGAGTAATGAAAGTGATATTATTTATCTTAAAGTAAACCCTGTGAGGTAAGTGATGTAATGGAATAACTAGTCACCCCAATGAATGATTATTTTTATTTATTTTTAAGCATTTCACCCCTAGCAAGGCGGGAAGCCACTAGGACGCAAGGGGTTACAGAAAATTTAGAGCAAGATCAGATAGGAGTGATAGAAGAAAGGATGAGGGTAGTGGATAGATCAAGGCAACTGGAGATGTCGATTGACATTACACTTGAATAGCTGGAGATTATAGCTCACAGGGAAACAGAAATAGGGAAGGGAGTTCAACAGGTGAGAGGTGTGAGACATGAAGCTATTGGAGTAGAAGAGACAGCTACATTTAGGAGTTTCGACAGTGAAGGGGTGAGAGCAGGATGCCAGCCTCGTATGGCGCTTGAACTTATGACGTCTGTGAACCAGCGAATGCAGCTCCTCGGAGCAATTTCCATGAAAGTATTTGTAGAACAGACAGAGGGGGGGGGGCGACGGTGCGTCTGTGAGAAAGTGACTGTAGACGAGATGCCAGAGCAGGGCCAACTACATTGCATATCCGCCTCTGGAGCCTATCAAGAACCCCGAGGCAAACAGAAGGGGCACCAGACCATATATGGCAGCAATACTCCATGCAAGAGCAAATTGTTGATTTGTAGATCTGGAGGATTGACTCTGGGGAGAAAAACTTCCTGGCACGGCTTAGGGAGCCAACTTTCCTTGCGGTGGACGAAGCAATTGACTCAATGTATTTGTTCCATCTCAGATCAGCAGTCAACGTGAGACCGAGCAGCCGCAGAGAGATGCTCTCAAGAAGTTGAGCGTCAGACATTCTAATGGAGGGCAGGGAAGGATCTCTGTGGTGATTAATAGAAAGCAGTTTTGTTTTTGAGGCATTAAAGTTGACCAGCCAATTCCTGCCCCAGTTCACAACCGATTGGAGGTCCTTTTCGCGACGCACGGCCAGGTTAGTTTTGTAAGCGACATTAGATTTGTTTTTGAGGCAGGAGTAAATTTTGGTGTCATCCGCGTAGGTGCCAATTGGGAATTTATGGCGTCAGGAACGTCATTTATGTAGATAAGGAATAGAGTGGGGTCTAGGATGGAGTCTTAAGGAACACCTGCATTCATGGGATAGGAACTGGATGAAAATCCGTTGAGAACAACCTTCAATCCATGGTTTGACAGGAATGAATGTATTAGGTTATATAATCGACCTGTAATGCCATAACCCTGGAGCTTGCGAAGAAGGCCGGCATGCCAAATCCTATCAAATGCCTTGGAGATGTCTAGTGCCACGGCACAGGCTTCTCCGTTATTTTGAAGAGCTTGGTAGACTGTTTCAGTGATGGCCGTAAGCACATCAGCTGTAGATCGAGCAAAGCAGAAACCATATTGCTTGTCTGAGAGCAGATTATGGGATGTGAGGTGGTTAACCACCTCCGTATTGATTAGGGCTTTGAAGACTTTGCCGAAGGGGGGAAGGAGACTGATAGGATGGTAGTTGGAAGGGTCAGAGTATATGATAGGTAGTAAGTACCTTGTTGTAGAGTGGAGGCTTGTATTTGTACTAAGTCGGTCCTAAAATAGGTTCGACGTACAAAACATTAGGAACTTGATATAATAGGTAATGACACAGAGAAATCTAGTGGTAGTCACTGATACTTTTAGTATCCGACTAACGGTCGTCCGACATCGACTGACTAACTCACTGAGCGACTGCTACCACTCCTACTTATTATAGGTGGGAGAGTCTATTAACAATAGAATAGGTGTGTTTCACTATATACCTATAAAGTCAACTGTCTACGAGAGACTCGAAGAGGAGTGAGCGAGAAAACGCAAGCATGTCTGACCTTCCAATTAGTGGCACTCACTACTAGATTGACCTGTGTGTATAACTGTACCGTATTTCATATTGTACTGGTTGTGTACAATAAACTTTTCTTCTATTATCCACCTGGTATTAAGTATTTATTCCCTTACCACGGAATATAACAGGTGATTAACCAATTCAGACATGAGTACTTTGGCAAAAGGGGTAGAAGGCTAACAGGCCAATAGAAGGATCAGATTGTTTACTTGATTTTTTGAAGACTGGGGTGGCAAAAAAAGATGGATCAAGAGTTTGGTTGATTGGTGCTTTATAGATAAACAAAATAGGCAGGAAACTGGATAGAAGAAAGAAAGTTTTGTTGGTAAGACATGACAGCAGTTATAGTTTCATAAAAGGAATTTTAAAAGTCTTATCCAACAGTAAACTCACAATGGACAAAGATTATATATATATATATATATATATATATATATGTGTGTGTATGTATGATAGATAGATACAAATTGTATTTTATACATTTGAATTTTCTTTATAATTCTAATATCGCACAAACCTTGGGTACATTTTTAAATACATTCGTACACAACTATGAACATAATTTTGCTGTATTTTATACATTAACAAAACTGATTTTCAGGTTAATACATTCTTTAAAAGAATTGTACCCCAGTCAAAAGGAAGAAAAAAAGCACACATTAAAGAAAAAAAATTCAAAATAACAAAACAACAAAAAATACAGATCAAGATATCTTCCAGCCCTAAAAGAAAAAAACAAAATGAAATAATAAACCACAAACTCTGTAGAAGTCCCTGAAAACAATCCCAAAATAAAAACAAATCCTCACAAAAAACAAATAAAAAATAATATAAAACTTCATAAAATAAAACACCCTCTAAAAATGTCCCTCAAAATAAAACAAGAAATAAAAATACCCTACAAAGAAACAATCCAAAATATTTTTTTTGCAAACTCTCACCAAAAAACAAACAACCACACAAAACCCCCTTAAATAAAAACAAATCCTCACAAAAAAGAAAATCCCAAAATATAAGCAAAATAAAAAAAAATAAGCCCACAAAACAAACGAATAAGAAACAATTTTAAAATAAAAAATAAAATCCCCCCCAACAAAGAACCAACCCTGCAAAAAACAACCATTACAAAAAATAAAAAATAAATAAAAAATAAGAACTAATAAGAACAGAAATATCTACATTAATCATCAGAAATTTTACTTGATAAAAACATTGACGTAAACGGAGGAGACAAACTGACATGAAGTGAGAGGAAACAATAAAACAATTGGAAAAGAAACATGGAAAAGAAACATGGAAAAGAAACATGGAAAAGAAAACAATATTCTCCATACCTAATCGGATGGTTTCCTCTAGTGCAGGTTCTATGGATCTTGCAAGTAAATCCCGGTAGAGGTTCGGGGACATTTTCATTCGGGATTCGGCATTGGTTAGAGTCATCCATGCCTTAAACAGAAAAAGGATGAAAGTACAAAGGGGTGCTGAAAAGACCTCAGCCTAAGAACTTTGCAGCAACCACTTACACCATATTGTATATTAATCTATTTCTGGGAAATGAATTCTTAATTATCCTGTGAACAGGATTATACATTCTGTAGATAATGAATCACTTCAACAAATTTTTACAAGTGTTAAGTTAAAAATTATCCACATTTTTGCTATAGTATATCTTTATGTTTGTCACACTGTCTTCTGTTTTTGTGGCCACGGGATCAAAGATTGAGCTTACTCGTAGTAGTTTGCTTGTTGCTGTTACAGTGTAAACATGGCCGCTCCACTAAGAGTGTGTGCCAAGGAGGAACAAAGAGTAGTGATCTGAATCTGCAGAGAACATGCTACCCTCATCGATGGTAACTTGCTGGTGTGCCATTACCATCTCTCAAGCTTTCTGAATTTTCTTGTCAGTGATGGAGGTTGATGGGTGTCCTCCTCCATCCTGTATGCATCCTGCTCCTTCTCTGTAAGTCATGCTTGTTTGGCCACTTTTAATCTCTTTAATCCAATCATACACACTTCTACGCGGTAGTGCACTGTAGCCGAATTGTGTTAAAAACTTCTGATGAATTTCAGACTTACACTTTCTGCCCAGTGAAATCGAATCACTGCTCTTTTTTTTCTCCTTGGTGCTCACTGCTAATGGAGTGGCCATGTTTACACTGTAACAGCAGCAAGAAAATTGGCACAATCAAGCTCAAACTTCAATCACATGACAACAATAGTACCAACTATAAGAACACATGAAGTCAGAATGACATGCCAAAAGATATTTTTTTTCTATTTTTTTTTAATCAAATTTACCCCGGCAAGGCAGTAAAGCCACTAAGACACAAGGAGTTACTAAGTGTGAAAGAATTAGAAAACAGAAACATTACTAAGGAGCAAGAACAATAGAAAAGTAATCAGGAGGACAGTAGATGATGATTGACACTATATTTAAATTTTTGAAAATCAAAGTTGGCCTTCTGGCCAACTTTGATTTTCAAAAATTTAATCTATGGCTGTCAAGTGACAGTGCAAGAAAAGAAACTTAGCATAGAACTTATGGTCCCCTCTAGCCAATTCAACTGCAAATTGATGAAACCTTGTTGCCAATCTAATACTGCACTTAAATTCATAAAGTCTAGGTACCATAGCAAAGAGGTCATCTGAACAATTACCATGAAGGTATTTATATAAAAGATGCAGGGAATAGGAAAGTGACTGAAGCCGAGATGCCAGGTCAGGACCAATAATATTACCAATTATTTGGATTTCCTCAAGAATCTCTAAATAGGAGCACTGTATCATACATGACAGCAATATTCTAAGCATGGGTGAGTGGTAGACGTATAGATATATAAGTATTGTCTAGCAGGAAAGAGTAAACCATCATTCTTAGCAGCTGACCTAGCGATGGATTCAATGTAGTCTTTCCACTTGATATCAGCTGAGAATCTTAGTCCAAAAAGGCACAACGAGTCACTTTCCTGGAGGCTAGCATCAGCCATATTGATAGAAGGCAGAAAAGGGTCTCTCAGATGATTAATAGAGAGCAGTTTAGTTTTAGAGTTGTAAACAAGCCATTCTTTGCCCCAATTAACAACAGACTGTAGGCTGATTGTGAATTCAGTTGCCAATTTGACCTTATCGAATTGATCAGACTTAGTACCAAGACAGGAGTAAATGGTGGTGTTATTAGTGTAGATACCAAGTTGAGAACTGATGTCATCAAGAACATCATTGACAAAAATTAAAAACAAAGAGGGACCAAGGATAGAGTCCTGGAGGGGGACACCTGCATTAGTAAGTTATGGCAAAAATGCAGATAATTTTTGACTTACCTTTGTATATTTGGCAAGAACAGAATTGACAGTTTTACACTCAACTATTTTTTAGGGTAACTTTAACATTCAAAGCTAGAGTGGTTCTTTAGATTGATAGAACATTTATTATCTTCCCATGAATTGGTTTAAACACATAAGTTGAAAGAGTAAAATCATGGAATAGAAAGAACGTAAGAATTCGATAAATGGTACTTTCAATTACCAGGCATTACAAGAATACACTAATTGATGAACTCATTGAGTAACAGTCCCAATAGAATATTTGAAAATGCCATAGGACATATGTGATCATGGCTCTCCACAGTGTCTTTTCTAGTCTCTGAATTTCAATGACTTATTGGCAGATATAAACTTGTTTCCTTCTCAAGAGATTGGAATTCAGAGTTTTTCTTCTCTTAGACTGGTTATTACAAAAGGCTAGAAAGCCCAGTCTACCCTGCCATTTAATCTATGGCTGTCAAGAGAAAAGATTCATGGTTTTCTCAAGGGCATTTGTGTGACAATGAATGCAACAGACAAGCTTAGGATTCAGACTCAGCCTGCCAATGCCACTTTTTGCACTGAGATTCATTACACTCCCCATACGAAAAGAATGATCTGCTCAAGCAAATAAAAGGAGACAAAAAAGTAAAAGAAATCCAATTTTATAAAGTAAACCAGTTGCCCGTATATTAAATACTGCTGCCATATCTGGTCTAATGCTGCTGCTGTACATCTTGAGATTCTTGACAAAATCCAAAAAAAGGATCTGTAATGTAATTAATCCTGACGTGACTTGGCTTCTCTCTGTACATCTTGAGATTCTTGACAAAAATCAAAGAAGGATCTGTAATGTAATCAATCTTGATCAGACATTTCAACCTCAGTAACTTTCTCACCGACATGACATGGCAGAAAAAGCACTAAACGAAAATAGCACAAAGGGTTTGAATTCAGGCAGTAGCTGTTTAAGTACACATTGTACTGTATAATATATTCATTTCTTTCGTTCTTTGAATAACTTTTCCTTCCATTCCTTAATTGAATTTCTTTGTCTTTCTTTCTTTTAATTTCTTTTCATTCTTCTTTTTTCTCATCAAAATCCATGTTGCATATTTATAAATCAACCATTTGTCCATGCATTGAATACTGCTGCCATATCTGGTCTGATGCTCCTGCTGTACATCTTGGGATTCTTGACAAAATCTAAAAAAAGGATCTGTAATATAATCGATCCTGACCAGACATCTCGACTATAGTCACTTTCTCATTGACATGCTGTAGCTTCCTTCGGTCTTTTCTACAAATATTTTCATGACAACTATAATGACTAGCTTTTTTCCCCCCAGCACCCTGACTAGATGAATTTAAGTGTGCTAGTAGAATGGCAACTAATTCCCACAATTTTACTGTTTAAATATCTAAATCCAACTACCACTTCTACTCCAACAGTTTCTTTTCTTGCACTTCCCGCCTGTGGAAGTCCTTTTCATTTTCTTCCTTCTCCAATAACAATCTTCAAAAATTTAAATGCAATGTCAATTGCCATCTTCTGTCTTCCTGAACTATGCTCCTTTTTTGTCTTTTCCTCAATCCTCCCTTTTCTCAGTCTTATCATTCTCTTTCACTTCCTGTAACACCATCCTACATACTAGTGACATTATCACCTTACTTGGGGTGAAATTATTCAAAAAGAAAAAAAAATCCAAGCTTCTTGGCTCCAAAAATAATTAAAACTTCTCCAATATGTATTATTTTTAATTTCTTAAAAAAATTATAATCCCACTATCAGCATATGGGGAAATGTAATTTAAACAAAAACAAAGGAAAATATAATTTCAAATATGCTTTCTCTCATATATATATATATATATATATATATATATATATATATATATATATAAGTGCGATGGATAAATTGTCGTCTAAATTATGATAAATGAGAATAACACTAACATTTCATTTTAACAGATATATTTACCAAGATTACACAAAAATATCTTTAAACACTAAAGACTAAATTTATTCAATAAAATCACCACTGGCTTCAACAATGGTCTCCAGACAACTTTAGAATCTCCTGCAACTCTTCTGGACAGTCTCCTTCTTTAAGTTGGAGAATACTGCCATAATGCCTGCCTTCACTTCATCTTTGGTGTTACAAGGAGTTTTGTTTGTCTCTTGTTCAACTGTACCCAACAAAATAACCAAGGGGTGTGCAGTCTGGGGAGTGATGTGGTTGCAGAAATTGTTTGACAACTGGGTACTCCTGCTTGTGTGGCATGGTGCAGAGTCCTGTTGCCAGACATAGGGTCTTCCAGCAGTCACTCTTGACCCAAGGCAGCAATACCTCCTCAAATCACTTGATGTAGGCCTGTGTTGTGTCTGGGACCCAGTGGGAAGATGAATGGAAGTATAACATTGCCATCACCAGTGATCATTCCAAACACCTTCATAACCACCATTAGACTCATCCAACTCTTCCCAAATCCTCAGCACTGTCTTCAGATTGACACCCAAACACTCAGAAACATTTGTATTGTAGCTACCGGTGTGAATGCTAAGCAGAACAGAATGCAGCTTCCAAATTTCTGACCCTACTATACTGCACTGTTGACAAAATCAAACAATGTGCATATGTGAAATTAAAAATATTAAATGGAAACAATTTACCCATCACATTATATATGTGTGTGTGTGCAGGTATGTAGAAAAATAGGAAAAGAACAAGTTAGGTAAATAATCCAGAGTTCTTTAATATTTTTGTTTTTATTTTTAAAAAACAGTGCTCCATACAGAAGTAGAGCTTAGATTATAATTATTTTTTTACGAAAATATGATTCCTTCGCTACATAAGAGTTCTCATGTTTAAAAAACAAGAGCCGAAACCCTCAATATAATTATTAAAATTAAATTGAATTAAAGTAACAAGCCGTGTTTCATCCTCAAGCAAAAATTTAGGAATAGCCAATCTTGAATAACCAATTTTGAAATTTACGTTTTCGCTTGAGGATGAAACAGGGCTCGTTACTTTAATTCAGTTTAATTTTAATAATTATATTGATGGTTTCAGATCTCGTTTTTGAAACATGAGAACTCTTATGTAGCGAAGGAATCATTTTTTTATAAATATATATATATATATATATATATAAAAGAGAGAGAGAGAGAACTGGAGGGAACAACATCAGAAATGCTGTAAATAATGTTAACAGTTCATCCCGGAGATTCAAAGAGAAATGGATGATGCCAACATTTGAAGATGTTTTCTACTTACTACTGGTCGGTATTCTGCAGGGATTCCTTTTCGACAAAATCGTTTCACTGAAATTTGAAATTAAGAGAGGATGGTAAAAATAATAATAAATAAAGTAAATGAGTTTCTTAATGATAAACGCATACTCAAACACAGGTCCTTGTACAATCATCAAAGTTAAACAATGTCAAGTCTGGTCAATACCTCGATGGGTGATTGCTTGGGAATACAATGTGTTGCAAGCTTGCATGTACAGGTATTATAGATAAGAACTCTGAACTGGAAATCAAAGTGAGGAGTTCCAATTCCAGTTGGGTTTGTTATATTCACTTATGTGCAAATACACTTGGGAATGGTATGGATCCACTTTTCTTTTTGTATTGTAAGAATAATTCTTTTTCCTGTACTGAATGCTGGACACTCAGCTCAAAGATGAGTAAGAGACCTCAGGCAACAAAAATGTGGTTCTACAGAAAGTTTCTGAGAATACCATGAATCAAACATGTGAGCAATGATGAGGTTTTAGAGAAAATGGAATCAAAAAGCAAACTTAACATCAGGAAGAGATAATTGAAATTTCTGAGCCACAATGAGGAAGGAGTGCTTGGAAAATCTAATACTCACAAGACAGATTGAGAGCAAAGAGGGGTAGAGGAAAACCATTCATAACATACTTGATGAGCTTAGGTAGATTGGTGGCAGAACAGGATTTAGGAGAAATAATGAAAAGACAAAATTTATTAAGATCTAGAAAGGACAGGAAATTGTGGAGAGCCATGATTGCCAACATCCTGCTTGGACACTGTTATGAAATATCAGTCCTCCTCTATGGCAGTGAATGCTGAACAATCTCCTCACAGATGAAGAGACTTGAAGCAACAGAAACGTGGTTCTACAGAAGGATGCTGAGAATACCATGAACTGAATATGTGAGCAACAACAAAGTTCTAAAGACAATTTCGACAAGGACACTTATACTTAAAAATAGGAAGAGACTGTTGAAATTTCTGGGGCAGGAAAGAGGGCTTGGAAAATTTGATACTCACAGGATAGATTGAAGGTAAGAGGGCCAAAGGAAAGCAACACACAACCCAACTGGTAAGCTTGAGTGAACGGACAGTTGAGAACATTTTGGGAGAGATGGCAAAAAGACAAAAGTTACTAAAGAAATTGTGGAGAGGCACGATCACCTACATTCCAAGGAGACATGGCACAAAAAGGAAAAGAATATTGCATTTACTATTTTTTGCAAACAATGATTTTTTTTCCCCCAGATACAAGTCCTACTGTTTAAACCCATGGCTGCAGGTAGGAGATGGATTCAAACCTTTCCCAAAGGTATTTGCACATAAGTGAATGCAGTGTAACCAGTTGGAATTCAAACTCGACCATTTTCTCATTCTGAGCCATTATCTATGACACCACCCACACATCCGGAAGCAGGAGGATATAGTAAGTAGCCTACTTGGTATATTTACATGGAAAGAAGAATGGGTCTTATTTAGAGCAACAAAATGCAGAAAGTTATGGAGAGCCATCATCATCGACCTCCTGAAAGTCTGTTAAAACAAAATTTACTAAATATTGACCTCAGCTGATTCAGAAGGAAGTGACTCACAAGCATTTAACCTCATGTAGATTTATATTAGCTGATCTATTTAAAAGAGCAATAAAAGTAGAAATGCTATCACAGCTCTTAATAATAACAATTCGACCACCTATAAAACCATTGGGTTTTCTTTTAAAAGTAGTTCATGATACAAAATTATGAGGTAACAAGTCAATTTTACATTTTAATTTGTATTTAAAAAAGGTTTATTGTTCCACTGGGTTTCATAGAACTTGTGACACATATAGCCTCTTCACCTTTCAAGTAGTTGTCTATAAAAAAAATGTTCTAATGTAGTGTATAGAATTGAATAAACGTATGCTGTATTATACATGTTTAAAATTATCAAAATTATAATGTGTTATAAATGACTTATTTTTCACACATATAATAGCTGGAATATTATATGCAAGTGTTTGTTTATATACACAGATTGATATAAGAATATGTATTAAAAGCAAATACTGAATTTCCCATTTAAAATGCCATAAAGACTGTCATAGCTCAAGAACCACTTGTCTAATTTTAATGAAATTTGGTACTCCACTTGACAGGGGTTCAGGGTACAATATGCCCCTAAATTGGTTGGGGTATTATGTATTGTTTACATTGTATTTCAGGAACACACACATACAAGATCAGAGATTAAGTATTTTTATAGATAATAATAAAAATACATACACACTGAAAATATATTTTATTAAATACACTCATGAACAAATCGAAACTTCTTTTTTTAGGATTGACTGAATAATATGTCATGATTAACACCAAGAAAAATTTCATACATATTTTCAAGGAAAATAAGCGATTTCTTAATCCTGCTTGAGTCACATAAGGTGTTTTGTTATACAAAAAAATTTTAAGTACTCATAATTCCTAGTTAGTAAGTTGTTTCTTTTGCTCACTCCCTCTACTCTCCTGATACAGTGAGGGTGTGTAGCATGCAATGTGGTTCAGTTATCAGAGGCAGACATTGTCTTGCCTTCTTTGTGGTGTCCTGTCACACCATTTGACTAACGATAGTGTAAATGCTGCTTTCCTAAGTGTTGGGGTTACTAATGTAAATGGTGTTTTGTTGAAAAGATTAATTTGGTTGCGTATTGAAGAGCATTTAACATTTATACATTTTTTAAAATCAAGGAAAAACAATGGAAAACCGATTTGTGTTTCAACGATTAAACATATATATTAAAATCAATAACAAATACAAGGTAATTTGTGTAATGTGTGAATAAGGAGAAAAAAGTAGTTTCCTTTTATCTGTTAGTTGAATTAGGAAATTTAATTAAGCAAGTTTTCTGAATATAATGTTCAGAGTTCTGTGTTAAAATAGAATGTGTATTCAGAAGATCATACAGTTGTGTGTTATGTAACTAACAGAGTTGTTGCAACTTGGCTTGTACACAAAGAACTGATGGTGTATGAAATTCAAGTTCTGTGTCTCTGTGTGTGCATGCGTAGTGAGTAGTATGAATAACATGTGTGAGTAGTCGAGTTCTACTGCCTTTAACTCTACTGTTCTGTACTGGTTAATTTGGGAATGAATCTGAACTTATATTACTATCGGTAGGCTCCCAGCACGAACGCGGGATAAATTTTGAAAGAACACGAAAAATATCCGATTGGATGAAAAAGTAACCAATAGGTGATTTTATAACAAAAGCATGTTTGTGAGTTAACGGTATGAAAAATTCAGTGTGGTGAATGTGATCAGTAAATTGTCCTGTGATATTTAGTATTTATTATTTGACCAATCACAGTTGAGAAAAGGCGTGGCAACATAGTAGTAATCACTACAATAGTAAGTTTTCATATATATATATATATATATCTGTATTTTATTCCTCTTCAGTCCTGTAATTGAGTTTAGCTAATGTAATATCTTTCTATATATTGTGGCACTTTTTGATAAATGAAACTTTTCTCTATTATTATCTTGGCTTGTTTCACCTACAATTTACAACAGAGGTTTATGTAATAAATTTATCATAATTTTCATTTCAATAAATGATTATAGTGCTACAATCATTCTGCTAGAAAAAATAACACAGTTGGCAATCTCTATTATATGAAATGGACAAAGCCTGACAATTATTTTAAGACACTTTTTCTATAAAAAGAACGTATAATGTTTACTAGCAGTAGAGCCCGGCGTTGCCTGGGGATGTAACAGTAAGAGATAGATCAAGTATCGACCATCATAAAGACTGAAAAATAAAATTGACAAAGATTATTGTTTAAGGTTGACGGACACGCATGTCTTAATAAGTTTTTTTTTTTTTTTTAATTGGTCAAACCCAAATTCAAACAAAACATTGTTTACAATTGTTATGAGTCTATCGATTGGTGAATAGAATTTTATTATAAACAATTGTCTTGTAAATGGAATTTTAAAGCATTCTGAATGTAAATAAAAGAAAAAAGTGTGCAAGACAATAAGAAATACTACCTGCCGAAAAAAAAAAAAAGTGGATGTTTGTTTTATCGGCTGAAAATGTAAGAAATCCGATCCCATAGATAAAGGAACACACACACACACACACACACACACACACAAACACACAACCTGGGTTTTTAACCTAAGTCACTCCACGGAATCGCTAAAACATAGAGCATAGTCTGATGAAAAAGACGCCAAAGTTTATGAAAACAAAATTTTATCGTCAAAATGCTTATGTTTTTATGAAGAGGATAGACTAGATTTTTTTTAATTATTTTTAAAAATTTTTCCATCTTTTTAGAATATTCTAAATTTTGATTTAAAAACCTTGTTTCTCTTTGTCACAACAAGGGTGGTAAATAACATAGATAATTTTAGCTGCTTTTTTGTATTTACACACATTAATTTGGAAAATCTTGCAAAAATAAAAATAATTGTCAGATGTTAATGAAACTTTCAGAAACTATTCACAGATGATCGAAATTATTATAAATATGTTTTTTTTATTAAAGTCATGGCAGAAATATTTTTTTTATATTTATTAAGACCCCATAACTAATTTTATGAAAAACTCTAGAAATTCAAGACCATCGGTTTTAGTGATTACAATAGTTAAAAGCACAAGGCTTTGAAGAATGCAAATCATGTTTTTTTTTTTTTTTTTTAACGTACCTGAAAATCAGCTGTGAATTGTAACATACAAAACTCAATAAAACAAATATATTATTTAGTTTCAAATGCTTTTATTTGTTTTAATTTGTTTTTATGAATATGGACAATATTTTCTGAAAGCAAAAAATTTTTTCAATGAAAATTGAATTTTTAATACAATTATTTCTTATTTCTTTAATTTTAAAAAGATTTTTAAAAAAATTTTAAATTGAATTTTTAAAAATATTTTAACATTAGTTAAAAGCAACATCAACCTTTCAAAATGTCCGTGTGAGATTGTCTAGAGCTTTGAAAATTGTATAATTTGGACCAATCAGATTAGCCATGGTAATTAAGAAAAGTAA